ATTCCAACGATTCAATTATTTGCTATTCCTGAGTCTTATTCGAAAACTTTGGACAAGAACGAGTTTTTAATTACTGACAAGATGATAACAAGACGCCAACGAATACTTTTATTTTCAACAAGTGAACAACTTAAAATGCTTTTCGCTGCTGAAACAGTATTCATGGATGGCACGTTTTCAACATGTCCAAGCATGTTTGATCAAGTTTATACAATTCATGCGATAAAATATGATCAGTGTGAGTAGATAGAAAAGACCTTGACTATATAAGTGTGTCTCATTTTTTTAGCCTTTCCTTGTGTTTTTGGCTTATTATCAAATCGACAGAAAAGTACATATCACTTTATGTTTCGTGGGTTGAAAGCACTAGCTGTACAAATGGAAATGAATTTTTCACCAAAATTAATCATGAGTGATTTTGAACCAGGTCTATTAGCTGCAGTTGCACTCGAAGTAAGTATTTTGTATTTATTGAAAATACATTTCAGATTTTTCTTTTCTTTTATAGTTTATTACAGCAACACATTTATCTTGTTATTTTCATTTTACTCAAGCTATTTATCGAGCAATACAACGAGTTGGCTTATCAACAGCATATAATAATGATGATGATACTAAAAAATATTGTCGAAAATTAATGGCGCTTCCTTTAATACCAGAAGCGATTATCGAAGATACTTATGATGAATTAATCGCTACAATGCCATCAACATTAAAGGACACATTAAAGGATCTATTCAATATTTTCAGGAACAATGGCTTAACAAAGTTCCTATTTCTCAATGGCGTGTGCATGGTCTCAACATCAGAACCAATAATAATGCTGAAGGTGATCTTTTTCTTGTATTTAACTCAAAAATTTATCTTCTTATGCTTCATTTAGCATTTCATAGTCGCTTCAATCGTCGAGTACAAATTAACCATCCAAATATATGGTCATTTATTAAGCTTCTTCAAGGAGAAGAAAACCGTGTTCATCATATGTATGTTCAATTCATGGCAGGCTTAGGGACACGATTAAAACAAGCTAAAACGGTTGCTATTCAACGTCGTATGGATAAACTTGGAGAAAGATATTATGATGGAACAATAAATGCTATGGAATATTTAGATGGTTTATCATTTGTAGTTGCTAAACGGAAAAAATAACATTTTAATTTTTAATATTTTTTTAATATTTTTCTCACTGTTAAGATTTCAACTTAATTTTATGCAATAAAACATGCCCTATATTATTTACAATTCTCTAAAATATTAACCGACAATGTTTCATATCAATATTATTTTTTCGACATTTTTCCTTTCGACATTATGACGGCCAACCTCTGTAACCTTCTCTTATCAGACGTCTTACAAAATCCACTCATTTTTAAAAATATTGAAGTTTATTTTTAACTTTTCACTGACTCCCGCCTCGAAAAATATGCTATCCGTGTGAGTTAATGAGAGAAGAAGCAGTCAATGCTCTGCATGGTGCTACTTCACTATTTTACTCAGAACTGAGTCCATTCTATGTGCACTAACTTACTAGCATTTATATACTATACGGCTGATCTTATCGATATCTGCTTCTGATAAAACAAAAACATTCAGTTTAGGTCGTATAGTATAAAATGTGCAACAAGTTGAAACTGCTTTAAACATAATATGAGAAGCGTAGGAGAGTGATTCATGGTTCGAGTTATAGAGCTTCAACATTCCTTAACAGCCATGTTTCAAAGTTTTTTCAAAACTTTCTCGAAATACAATGACGTTGAAAAATTGAACTTGATCATATCGAAATTGTAATTTGGGACCGACATCAGGAGCAAAACTTTTTTATCATTTAAGGAGCATTTTCTGAAAAGTTGTGAGATAAAAAATAGGCAAATCGACACGCCTGCTTTGTATTCAGAGACAAATCACTTACGAATCATGAAACGGTGGTGAATATGCTGTTGCATGAGATGTGGGACGAGTTGCATATCGATGTTGTAGGTTGGTTGTCAAGATTGGCACTGGCTGCATGAGAGGAAATGGTGGCTGAATCTCCTTCAGTTGAATCATGTAAAGGTCATGACCTTGATTCAGACAAGCCACCACTCTAAATTGAGTAGCTGCAGGAAGAAGCACTTCGTTTTCATTTGAATAGCAGGAATGTTCACGAATGTCTTTGCCCGAATCACATTCAATAGCAAAAATTGTTCTGGTACCCGTGTTTCCCAGAAAATGTTCGGATTGTAGAACATCGATCGCTGTAGTGCACGAAGAAAAGCCCCACCATATCACAGTGTCACTTTTTTTATATTGTTGACTCAAGTCTAGTTTGATTCCACGGTATACGAATTGGTGTTGAGACGGGAGACGCGAAAGTGCAGTGAGAAAGAGCTTCAGATAGGGTAACCATGGTTTCAAATTTTGTCTGTCTTTTGATCGAAGAATGTCATTCAAGACAGCATAGAGACATTTGTCTAATGGTTGCCAGCTCATTGTGTAGAGCATGATCGAGGCTGACTCATCCGGTGTTAAACCATCAGCCGGTTCCTTGCATCGTTGTTTGGCGATATAAGCCTGCCTCTGAATATCAGGCAGAAGAGCGATAAGGGGTGTGATAGCGATCTCGAGTGTGACGAGCGGCATCGTCTCATAACCACCAATTGGCATAAGCATATCGTAAGGATTTTCAGGAATATCGGAGATACGCATAGCATGCACTGAATTTTTTCTTCCGTGTGCTATAGCCATATCTAACACATGAGAAATCTTTAATTACGCTTTTCTATTAGATGAACTGCGAAAATCTATACAAAAGTGGATCGAACTTTGTTCTTTAGAAAATGAATTAGAAAAACGAAATAAGGAATTCTTTACAAATTTAAATAGATCAATTCACTAAGCTATGTTATTCAATAAATTTTAAGAGCATTTTCACTAATTCTGCAATCGATAAAATAAAGTGAACGCACTGTGGGGTTCATTAACAATATCTCTCCTGAATCCTAGCTAGTCTTGAGTTTATTCCGATCAAACTGACTATTAAAACAATCTAATTCTTCATCGACTAATTGAGAGTAACTTAAAATTGCAATATTTATCAATTGAATCGAAGAAATATTTCGCTGGTGTGTTGGTGCTGAATCAAGTGTATTAATTATATCTTATGAAAATAAAAAATTTGAGTTTACAGGATGCTGTGCATTGTTCTTTATAGATGATTTGTCAGAACACCACAATCAGAGAATTGAACAATGGTTATATCAAAATAAGTAAGGTGTCGTAAATTCGAAATTTGAACAAAACTTTATTGTCGATCTTTAGCATGGTTTGATAGAGCTCGTCGAGTTATCTATAAAAATGTTGTCGTTCATCATAGTTTATTGTCGTTTA